TCTTCATCCCTTATTGATGGTGTGATCTTGAACATTTTGAAAAACAAAAACATTTGCTTCGGAACTTCATCTATCTGTCTTGCTATGCATTCTGTTGATAGCTGATATGATGCATTAATAGATATACAGACATTCAGAGACATCTGATATCAAAGCAGCAATTAAACTCAATTAGCTTCTCAACTATTCTCTGTATTCTTCATTTATAGTTCGAGAATGTTAGTCTATTTCAGTTGATTGAATATAACTTTTCTAGGGTGTGAGGCTGAGCGTGTTGGTATGAGCAAAGGTTGGGACATACTGATGAACTCTCCACACCGACAACTTTGCCCACACCCTACAATACATCAAATGGGCACATTTTCAACCCTCTTATATAACAATACGAATGGAAAATAGCTGAATTTATTAAAACAAAGAATTTTTGTTCCAAATACCAAATGCAGAAAATGCGCGTTTGTTTTTGTACGATTCTTAGATGATTTTCAGTGAACTTTATCCCAAAAAAAATGGTTGCAAAATTGTTTTAGTATGGACATACGGCATCAAAAATTCACGAAATGAGAACCCCGTTTAACAGTGTATGCTGCAAATAGACAGCGAAGGGTATCGCAGTTCATTACTATCTTTTACTTTTTTTCGACAGCATATAAGAACAACCACATGGCCAATACAATATTTTTTGCTCTCTAAAGAGAAAAATCGTTCTTTCGCTGTTCTGTTGCTCTAAGCGTAACGTTTCGAGCGTTCTTCTTACCAATCAAGCACTTTCTCTTTTTTATCTGTTAATAGAGACACTATGGATATGCTTCAATAATTTGTGATGAGCAGTATTTTACACTTTTTTTTTCTGTCCAGACCGCATGCTGTTTAAATCGATACTAAAAAATAGTACGTATCAAGACATAAATCTTCATCATTGTTCTGTTGACAATTGCCATCACATACTTTATTTATGTGACTACAAAGTATAGTATCTGTGGCTGAGACGCATTTTTTCATTAGCGTGGAATCAGTGCCTTTTTTTCGTATCCTGACCAACGAAGAAAAGAAAAGATCTGCTTTTTCAAATATACAATTAGGTGTAATTAGGAAAAAGGGATTACTATTAAGATGCAGTTATGGATAGTTGGAACTATGTAAAACCTTATCTGAAACTACAGCCGTAGATATTAGTTATGATTACGAATCGATCAAGAATATTGTGAGGATCTTATAAGCGGAACATTTTCTACTGATCTATTTAGACTAAAACATTGGCCATGATAATCGGCTGGATACGTAATTATCATACAGACAAGAATAGGATTTTTGGAGCTTCTAGAAGTTTAATGAATGAGAAAGTGAAACGATTTGTTTTGACTTGTTCGCAGCTTGATGATCTTAAAGGAACGAAAGAAGAATTTATTCGTTCTCTAGAATTCGTGTCTAGTCAAGCGAATACCTGGACGTCTAATGAGTAGTTTTATGTGAGATAAACAAACTCATCCTATCACTATAGTGGAAGAAAATAATGTATGTAAAGCAAATTGGTCGACAGAGAAGGTATGTAGTTGTAGCATGCAAGTTTCGACGGTGTTTATTCATACTTTTACGCATATATAACTAGTCATTGTCACTTGCTACGTTGTTTGTGGCTTGCGAAGAACATATTTACTGTTGTTTATATTTTATAGATCATACATTGCATTTTGTCACCTTATTTCAGAAGAAAGTAAGAAGATAAATTCTATAATCAACCGAATCATACAATATGAATGACCTTCCAATGCCATTATTTTCATCATCCCGTGCTAAAGATTTGACGCATGTCATTACTGAAAATATGCCAACATGGAATGAAGGTCAAGGTTTTTCACAAAAACAAACACATTATCCGGAAACTGATGGTTATGCTATACATCATTTGACTTTTAAGAAAGCTGGAATAGGTACTCATTTTGATAGTGCTGCGCACTTTTTTCCAGGAAAACGCTCCGTATGTAACATAACATCATTCTATTAAACTTTTAATCGTTATTATGATTTCATTAGGTACATGAGTATCCAATTGAAGAATTAATATCACCAGCAGCTGTAATTAATGTTATTCAACAAGCTGAACGTAATATAGATTATCAAATCACACAACAGGATATTATCAATTGGGAAAAAACACATGGCAGTATACCGAATGGTTCATTTGTTATTGCTAATACTGGTTGGAGCAAATATTGGAATGATCCAAAAAAGTTTATAGGTCTTGATGAAAAGCAGGTACGACATTTTCCCGGATGGGGACAAGAAGCCGCACAATATTTACTCGATAAAGGTGTACGTGGTTTAGGTATCGATGTCGCCAGTATTGATGCTGGAAATAGCACTACTTTTGGTGCTCATCATGTATTTTTAAAGGCAGATAAATACTTGGTAGAGAATATCAATATTGGTACCGAAAATAGCAATACAGTACCGGAAGTTGGTGCAACTATATTTGTCTTACCAATACCGATCGAAAATGGTAGTGAAGCACCAGCAAGAATCATAGCATATGCATAAAACTAAACGCTTTTCTATCTGAAACTTTTATTCTATATAACACAACCTAGTTACAGAACTAACCAGAAACTGCAACTATTACAGAAAAAAATAAATCTTTGTAACGTTAGATGTATCGCTTTGATTTTTGTTGGACTATATTTTTATGGTTAATAGGGTACCGAGCTCGTTGGTACATTGCCGGAAGTATTCTTGGCGTTAGCGGAATACTCAAAGACAAAGAAGAAATAAAGGAAAAAAAATAAAAAAGATAAGAGCCTGATTAAATTTCTCTATGTTGAACCCGACAGCAACATCGACAGAGAAATATTTCCAAAAAATATGTACTGGGGAACAAAACTTCTTTGTTTTTTCTATACCTCAGCAATACCGGAAGTTTTTCTGATAATTATTTGCCAAAAATGCATACTGGCGTTTACAGTAATTGGCGTCGAATTGAAATGTCCTTTCTACGATGACTGCTTTTATAAAAGGACAGGACCTTACGAATACAGTAAGGATGAGAAAACTAACTTCTGAAATATTGGTAATGGATCTATGTGGTGCTTCGGATATGTTATTCAAGACCAAGATGCTGAAAGTATCCTTAATGCTATTGGTATTAACGGTGGTTTTTGCTGAGTATTGTCTCATCGTACCCATCGTCTACTACATATCTATTAGCGTGAAATGGCGTTCGAAAAAAAAACCTCTAAAAAAGAAAGTTGTAATATTTTCTCCAATGACCGCTGCTCGAAAATCTGTGTCACAACGCTGGTATTCCGGTTCCTCTCACCAGCATTAGGACTGATCGTTCTTGCATTTCTCACAGCACCTATAGCACCATCGATAGCGATCATGTTCTGTTTTATACTCTTATTTCTAATGACCAGTACTGCATGGATATGGGCGACCCATGCTGTGTTTAAATAACCATGCGCTTTGGGATTGTGTAAAAGTTGCAAGAAAACAAAGCCACCTTTCTGCCGTTGTTCCAAAAACTGCAAAGTTCGGGTGTAATATCAACATCGATGCTGATAATTAAACTTCCAAAATCGTTATATTACTGACTAGTTTTTCATACTTAAAAACAGTAAATTTTTCAGTTGACTGTTTTTTTTTCAGAGAAAAAGTCAATATTATGACTTTATGCTTGCAGCCAGATTGGTGAGTGTGTGCGACTGTGAACAGAATAAATACCCACACACCGAATTCCATCAAAATCATATCGAAGGTGTAGGTGTGGTTGTATGGGTGAGAAAACGATAGCATCCACATCGACATCTACACTCTAATGAGCACTTGCAGAGTAACATTGAAATAATAAATGATCACAGGCGAGCGAGACTTCTCATCATAGAAACTGGTGAAATCATATCTTCAAAGTACTATCAGTGAAAATCCTTTGATTGTGCTGGTGGCGATATATTTACACTTCCATGATTAACATTAATATTGAACAAATTCTCAAAACAAAAGTAAAAATAAAGCTAGAATTGTTTCTATGATTTGTTTCTTCGAAGTTTTCTCTTGTCCTACGAATACGACGACATTCAATGAATAATATAAGCGTGAGCAATAGATAATAAAAAGAATTTCAAAAATCATCACGATTAGCTTCCGTAATTTGTTTTCATTCGCCGCTCCCTCGAAATTTCTTGGATCCACCACTGGTCGCTCGTGTAAACCGCAGAATAGATGTTTTTATTTTTGGATACGAATAAAGAAAAAATTTGACACTTCTTAATTAAATTATTCTTTCAAAGTCTTATCACTGTATGAAATTTTGCATTCGAAAATCTAGAATCATTCTTCTCAGTGAGACCACGAGCATTATATTCAACTATATCGTAAAAATGCAGTATCTCAGCATCAGTGAGCTTAGAGTTCCAGTTCCATTTACGGTATTCGTAGTTTACTCGAACCTACATAATGCACATAACCTGGACTTAAACGCGATTAATCGATTAGGGAGACTTTTCTCGTTCGTCCTCTAACTATATCTGCAGAGAGAGTTCGAATTACTTTTTAATTAGAATTCAACTATTGACAGAGGTGGATGAACTGAACCCAAGAGTTCAGTGGTAACTGTCTATATGATGATTTACTGGTTCCCAGTTCCTATATTTTTTGTAACCGCCGAACTATACTGACTTTCGTCTACCCCTAATCGAGTTATATCATTATAGATAACGTTGATCTTGACCTATTTGGCAATCGTCAATGTATTTCAATTAATCTATTCTTGTTATCTCATAAAAATCTTATGAGTTAAATCTATGAGCACGAAATATTTTCTTTTTATTTCAAGACTACTTCTCTGTAAATTAGTATTATAATCATGTATGATAACAAAGAAAAAAATACAAACATATCTTATTTCAATGAATATACAAGTGGAAATAACGAAAAAAAATTCGTACGACGGGCACAATATTATACACCAGTGACAATTCCGGAAAAAAAAGGAAAAAAAAAGATATTCAATGGTTCTTGGGTGGAATTTGTGCTTCAGTTATGTCATATACTTCGATCAATTGCTAGAAAATAAAATATTAAAAAATAAAAGCAATAGAAAAAAAGAAAGGAAACTTCTCACCTCCCATTCATCCATTGTAATAGACTAAAAGAAAATAGTAATGAATTCAATTGAAATATTATTACATTATATAAATACGAACCATAATCATTTGATTAGCACGTTCAGATGAATCATCAGTTTGTGTTGAGCTACTACTACTTGCCATACGATTCATAGCCTTGTTTGTTGGTTCTAAATTTTAAAAAAAAATAAAAAACTTGAGTCTTTTTTTTTTTTATAAATTTTCGATTTACCAAGTGCCGGTAAATTGACATCATCTTGAAAAAGATTAACAAATCCTTCCTAATACAAAAAAATTAGAAATTATAATTTTATTTATTCGTTTCTTTTTTAATTTAAATCTTTATACTTTAATAAGAAAAGATACATGAAACATATTTTCTACAGTTTTTGCAAATGATTTTGGATCAATAACAAATTCAAAATAATCAATTGGACTTGAATCTACAGCTTTATAACGTTCAACAAGACAACGTTTTATATGCATTATTTGTTTTATTGTTTGTTCACCAAGTTCAGAATTAAATTCTTTTACCTAAACAAGAATATTTATTTTGAATTAAAAAAAATGACAAAGAAAGGATTTTTATGATATATTAATAAAGTAAAGAATCTATAACTTCTTTGCTTCTGAGGATATCAAACTAATGAAAGAACGAGACTAAAACGATGCCACTATCGAGTGATAGTATCAAACGGTAATCGAATAGCATTATAAGATTTCTTAGGAAATAGTGTTCCATTTTTTGAACACTTGCAATAATAGAATGCTCGTTTGAATTTTAATCTGTTTTACAATAGAACTACTTTTAAGGCCAATTAGAATATTGTGCTCGTCATAGTGAAATTCACTAATGAAAGCTTTACTATTGTAATAATTTTCAATCAATGTTGTTGCTTGTCTTAATTTTTCATGTTTGATATACATTCTTTTTTTTTTAAAAACGAGTTCTAATAATAATTTGCATGTTACTTCGTTTCGAAGTGATCCTACCGCTTCGGGAAAATTATAAACTTTCAGTACTCTCTTTCAAAGTAAATTCATAGCAATCTAATAACATGATGACACAATGAAGAGGATCTTTTAGAAAACACTGGCGCTAAAATCTCAGGAATATTTTTGTATAAAATTTTTAAACAATATCTGATACTCATATTCACAGTATAACAAAAATAGTGGCATTTGCAGATAAAAATCCACAGTTAAATAAATTTCTTGACATATCATTGATTAAAAAAACTCATCACTCAGCTACAATTATTAGAATTCGTTTTATGTGTGTTTATATATAAAATGGTTCCAAACGACTAGGTAGCAATCTGCATTGACTGAAGCGTAGAACGAATAATCACTAATATTATGCTAATTTCCATGTAACACTTACGAATAAGAAAGAGAAGGAAAATACTTTCATACAGATGATTTTCCCCTATTGAATCAAATTTTTTTTTTGTAATAATAATATATATACATCTAATTCCAGTAGCGCCATCTAACTGATGTATTCCATCGGAAAAAGAAAACGGCGCGTAGTCATTTTATTAGATGATATAACTAAAGTAATCGGTGTTTATTGGGGCAAAAACCAAGTAATTAATCTCACATTAGTAGTCACAGCTAGAGATGTGTATCAAGTAGGCCCAAATGAATTTCGAATATTCTGAAAAAAAAAACTCGAGTTCTTAGCTTATTGCTTCAAAGATACTGTAAATTTTCGGTAGTTTTTAAATGAATGGCGTACTCGCTCTTAATAGAAACCTGATTTTTTTTTCGATTTCGACTTGAAAATTTGCATAAAGACAAGAATAATTTATTATCAAAATTTTCGGTTTTTTTGATTTACTTGCCACAGGTTTTAAACTTTTTAAAACAGATTTGGTTGCTATAGTATAGAAATATTCACTCGGGGAAAAAAAATACAATTCAAATGGAAAGGATAAAAACGATATTAATTCAAATGTGATTTTCCTAAAGATATTTACTTCTTCAGGTCGTGTACGTGATTTTTCTAATTCTTCTTGAGTTAATTTTTGTTGTCGAACAGGTTTTGCACGTTGTTTTTGTTTTTCTTGATATTCATTAGTAAATAATTTTGTTGGTAAACGACCATTCCTTAAGCAAAGAAACAAAGTCAAATACAAAAACAGAACATAATAAAAATTTATTTGAAATAAATTTACATCATAGAACATGATGGAACAATATGATGAAAATTTCCAAATATTTCATAGAATTCATTTGCACTACCAACTAATTTTGATAAAATTTTTTCACATTTTCGTGCAAAATCATAAGCACGATCTAAACTACCAGCTTCATCAACAGCACGAATTCGAACACTAGCTAAATTTGATATAGTACGTAATGTTGAAGCATCAAGTACACCTTCACGAGGCATTTTAACTAAAATTTTAGAAAAAAAAAAACCCAAAATTTTATTTTTCTTTAAAATAAAAGTTTTCACCTTTAGCAAATGCTTGATCAACTTGATCAATCTTTTTTTCTAATTCATCATTATCTGGTGCTGTATATAATTGTCGATTAGCTAGAAAAATGACAGAAAAAAAAAAAAAACGAAAAATTAAAATCATATATTTATTTACTATTGAGATCATCAATAAATTGACGATAATCTAAACGAACTCTTAAACGCATTTCAGCATCATCATCTGTAATCATCATCTAAATATGAAACAATTCTATGTATAGAACTTATTTGAATGATATTGATTTACTTGACTACGTTGTTGTGTTTGACTTCTATAACCATCATCATCATTATCTTCTTGTCGTTGTTTTTTCTGTACGTGAAACAATGTAAGAAATTCGATTATGATAATAAAAACAAAAAAAAAATCATTTACTTTATTTTTTTCTGTTCCCGTATTATTGACCATAGCTGGAATATTTAATTAATCTGAGAATAAAGAAGAAATATAATCTTTTGTCAATGGTTGACAACAAACGAAAATTTTTTTAATTTAATTTATCTATCAGAAAAACAAATTCATTGTATACTCCAATCAAGCGAAAATGAAAATAGGTGTCACTGGATGATGAAATCTTTCATACGTATCGAAAATAAAACAAAGCTGATTTTCATTATTCTTTTAAGGTGCAGAATAGCAAAAAAAAAAGCATCGGGTTAATCTATGGAGTTGCGTCACGTTCTTTCATACGTGATGTTGTTCGTTCTCTTTACAGGAATAGATGATTTTATTTTCTTTCCTTCTATTAATGCAATGGATTTAAGCTTATCTTAAAATAGCGGCGTAAACAGATGGAGCCTAGAGATAATTATCATTCTCCTCCTGTACCATAAGTTCTATGTTATATTATCAATAATTATACATCAGAAACAGAAAATTTGTCGACGCCACATTGCTTCCATAATTCCAGTGAAAAAAATTGCTATGATTGTATTGAAATAGAACTGTTGTTTTCATTTATTGATCATGAGAATATTTGCATATATGAACATTAGGAGTAACAGACATCTCTTTTCTAACCTGAAGAAAGATTTTGTGTTATGCGCTTTAATAACATCGAGAGAAAATCCATAGCAACAACTATCAAATCTAACGATACAAAAAGAAACAAACGTCAAAATCGCCCACGAACACAATCTTCCATTGATTCAAAATATTTTCATGGTCTGACTGGACAATACCTTTATCGATAGTGATCTAAGACATCTAGTTTATCAATGATATGGATATGATGTTTGATTATTTCAACTTCATTGCGACAAAATATTATTTTTTCTTGCTCGTCATATATCACAAGTACACTTTACTTGTGTCTTTCATGATATCAGTGATGATACCATGAATAAAAACTTGGAACATTTTGATTCTTCATTTATATATACACAAATCCTAAGAGGCATCTTATTAAAAATTGCATTCAAATGAAACTACCATGATAAAATACCTATTTGGTGAAATTTATTCGAAGATTTTGTTATTTATATTCAATTTCTAACTGCGTCTTTTCGACTAATGAATATGAACATAAATATTAAGATGAGCGTTTCTATCGGATATCTGCATCATCAAGTTAAATAACCACATTCTGTACAGTTTAATGTATATAATCAATGTAAAATCTTTACGATGTATCCATGGGTGTAAGATGTATTAGACGTACAGTATTGTCTCGACTTTCACATCGAAGTCAACAATGTTCAGATATATTTGAAATAGAACTTAAGAATGCTTCCGTGATTGCCCATATACATTGAAAGATGCTTGGGAAATCTTCCAACACTCTCTGAGCTGTTCAGATAATGTCTGAATCCGAACGTCAAATTAGAGAATAAAGAAAAAATATCTGAAATCTCGTTTACAAATCATTCTTAGTTATTATGAAAATTATTTTATATTGAAAAAATCAATTAGTCTAAATTAATCATGTATTATTCAATCGAATTAGTTTTGAAATAGCAAGAAAAATATAAAGGAATTTGAATAAATTGACATAAAGTGCATTAGACAGGTTTGATTGATTGTCATTGACGTAAGCCGATCTTGCTGTAAATATCTTTTGTTAGTGTTCGAAAAAAAAAATTCAAATTCATCTTCTTTCAACAGAAGATATACAAGTGTCATATGTCAATTAGTTCACAATCAATATATTTCTAGATTTAGGGAGGAGCTTGATATTGTTCCCAAGTAATAGTATCTAATAAACAAAAAAAGTAGAAACAGAGAAGAAAAGGAAACCATCAAAACTGAAAACTAAGTGCTACACGAACATGTCGTTGAAAGCTAGTCAAACTAGTAAATTACTTTTTTTTTCTGCTATTAAGAATTGATTCCAAATTGTAGTTGAGTACCTAAAGTAGAATCATGATGAATACGGAAAATGAACAGTTGTTATTACCTAGCAAATTTGAAATAAACTAATTGAAATCATATAGGAATTAATGATTTTACTGACCATATAAAAAGCTTCATCCGTTCATGAACATTAAATGTAGATACTTATCTCATATTCTCTTACTAGGAGCAAAGCTTGAAAATGTTCCAATCCGACTTTAGAATTAAACAATAATGCTTTCATTTTGGTTGAAGTTTTATACAAGAAACTGAAAAAAAGTATTCTTCTACTTATAGGTTCATGTTAGAGTATACATATCTTTCTCGATTTAAAAATTATCGTGCAATATCTTTTTCTAGAAACCGTAATAGTTATGAATATTATTGAAATAATGACAAAGGATGAGGAAACCTCCTTAAATGTTCTCTTACAATTTCAATTAATTTTTAAAACAGTTCAAATAAAATGGCTTGGATGAGGATATCGAGAAAAAGTAAGATCTCAAACGCCAGTTTCCTAGCATCTGTTTAAAGTTTTAATTTATAGAAAACTTCAAAACGCAGCAAAATCGCACGAAGATTCATTAGCTTAGTCAAATCTCAACAGAAATCCTAATCCTTTTAGAATTTTCATTAGAATACTATGTAGTACCTATGTGCTAAAACAACCACTGAAATCGAAAGAGATCATCTGACGAGGTTCTTCCCGTGAATTTAAATGAAAATAAGAGTTTAAGAATTATACGCTATGCTAATTCCAAACTTTTAACAAGAACACATTATTTGTGTGTCTATCTTTTCCAATCCGTTACATTTCCATTGGAGAATTCTATGTAATATGTTTCTGCGTTAGTTTCAAATTCTATTCAAATAAATAGCTTAAAAAAAATAACATTGACATTGGGAAAATATAGAAAACACTATCCCTTTTTTTTAACTACATGTGAAATAGTTATAGATCATTGTGTAATGACAAAACGTGACGATTTTATTTTTTTCCCTTGTCCTGTTGTGATTGGGTCATCCACTATTATGACATTTTTTAAAATATACAAGCACGCGAACTACATCATCTCTTGCGCTTATTTGATTAACAGAAAAAAAAATACGACATGAATAAAAAATATTCAAGAAAAATTGCTTGTCTTATTGATTGTATTGATGGTATAGATATTAGTACTTTGTTTCCTGGGTTTTGTGATAATTTTCCATTAAATTGTGATATTTATTTTTTTTATCATACTAATCAATCAAAACTAAATCGTTATTTGAAACAATTAACATCGAATAATCATGGTATTTATTTGATTCCAATATCAGAAGATAGTATTGCTATTAATTTTTCATTTAAACTTGGTCAAATCAATGATAAATATAATGATTTTATTCTTGTTTCGAACTATAATCCAATTTATGAAGATATTTGTAAAAGATTACTTGAAACAAATATACAATTAAAAAATCATATTCAATTTCGTTGTTTTAATCATTTAAATGAATTTATACAATTTTTAAATGAATTGACTAATTTACAAAATGAAAATAAAGAAGAAAATCAAACTAAACCTATTATTATTAATTATTCGAAAGAAACACTTTTTCATTCTTGTCCATTTGAAACAAAACAACAATCATCATATTTATATCGTTTTGGTCAATTACTTCATCATCTTGATACTGAACATTCGAATATTCATTATGAATATTGTACAGAATGTGAAGTAATGATTAAAAATAGCAATTCATTAGATAAAAATATATTTGAAAAACATTTAAAAAATGAACATTGGAAAGAAAATAAAGGATTTCAATTATTTATATGGCCATTACAATAATATTATTCAATTGAATTTTAATTAAACATTCTTTTTTTTTATTGATGACATCAGCTTTTTCGATTGTTATTCTATAAATTTTAAGGCAGACATATAAATATAGATCCATATAAAATTACTCGAATATTAATATCAATTTTATACATTGTTAACACTGACAAAAAAAAAAAAGAAAATTTGAATAAAATAACAATACAACATTCAGACGCTGAAACTATTTCTATTTGAAAATTGATATTAGTACAAAATATTTTTGAATTATTTATTCATCATTTTGAAAAAATTAAGTTTTATATAAAAATTTTGTTTCTTCTATTTTTGGTAGACAGAACCAGTCATATTTGAATCAATGTTAAAAAGACGACAATTGACACGAATACAAGAAGCAATCTGACATATATATGTATATTACTCAAAAAGAAGGACATTCTTATTCATGCCCTTGTTACTGTAATGTAACATGATTTATATTCATATGATTCATCATTTTTTTTTTTGATTTTTATCTTTCTTTGCTTTGTGATCACTACCTACATATATTTATTTTATTAATTGATTCAAACTGTTCGTTGATTGACAGAAATCAATATCTTATGTTTACTTATGTTATTTTTTTTCTTTTAGAATTCCAATAAATCAAGGATTTTTTTTAGATTTTATACAATAAAAATGAGATGAATATATATATTCAAAGGTCAGTATTTATTATACATATCATTATCACTAAAAAAAAATGATGATAATGAGAAATAATTGAACATTTATTCATCGATACAAATTCGTTATGTTAATTATGATTGCAATAAATGACATGGTCAATGATTGTTGATTGATGCAAATATAACACTATGGTAAATCTATTCTATAATATAAAAGAGTATAATAGTATTAATCAAATATATACTTTTCATCTGTCAAGTTAAGTTTTATGTCTTCATTTGATTTATATGAATAAAATAATTAATTTCTTTCCGATGATTTTGACCTTCGGATAAAGTTCATGTATTTTTGTTTTTTTGTAATGAGACGTGTTATTCTATCGATTGTAGACAGTAGAAATAGATAAGAAATCTTGAAATGAATTATTAAAGCTCTAGTACTATGAAGATCATCAAAATAATCAAATTATCTATAGATAATATGTTCACATGTATATCAATTATTTGAGATGGTAAATTAACTTGAACTTCAAAATTTGTCTTTCAATTTTATTATAACCAATAGACTACTGTTTGAAACATGATAAGATACAAAAAAAAACACAAAACGAATCTTTAAAAATTGTATCTTCAGTGGACATTTTATTTCTCTTATCTAAACTTCAAACAAATGACATTTACCGATGAAATAAAAAATCCCATACGAAAACTTCTCTGCGGCTGTTATTCATTTTTACTTTTTTTATTCTATTTTGATCATGTTTATGTTATCGAAACAAATGTCATGATTGTTTATATGAAACTATAGCAGATTTTATTTTCGTCCTATGTAAATTATCAAAGTCAATAAACAAAAAAAAAAGTTAGTCATCGTTTTATAACAATTATTCATTTATTATGAATATGTTTGTGTTTTTACACTAAGACATTTGTTTTTTCTTTTAATATATAGAGTCAATAAAAAAGAAAAGAAAAGAAACGAAATTATATTATTTAATCATTTATAAACAAAACAATAACTCGCTTTAAAAAAAAAACAAAAAAAGAAGTTAGAATGATATGTGTGAAAGATACAATATTTTCAACTTTCGTAGATAAGAAAATATTTGATAAAGCCACTTAGATATCTGAATTAACACATTGATTCATGACATGTTTGTCCTAATTCTATGAAATAGAAAAGAATTATTCTTTTTTCTTGATTTTTTTTTAATAAAATACTAACCATGTCGAAATGGTTCGAGTTGAGATGACATATGAACTGATAAAGGACGATTATTTCGAAGAAAAGATAATTCAGCATTGAGTTGAGAATTTTCCGTCTAAGCAAAAAAGAAAAAGAATTTGAATAATACAAATAATTTTTTTGTTTTTACTTCAAGAGCATTGAAAGCTAAATGAAGTTGAGCAATATCAGTTTGTAATTGTCCAAGAAGTTTGGATTGATGTTGTCGATTTTGTAATTCTTTTTCAAGTTCAAGTAATTTTTGTTGTAAAATTTCACGTCGACGACATTCTCGTTCGTATTTTGCCTTTAATTACGCAAACGAAAAAAAAATTTTTTTTTTTTTATTGTGTCATATTGAAATAAATATGTCCTTGTTCTACTAACCTTCCATTGCGATTCTTGTTGTTCGATGTCCTTCAATTGTTGTTCCAGTTCATCAATTTTTGTCTGTTTACTATTTAGTACTTGAATAAGTTCACTTGTGACAAGGTTTTGTTCATCATTTTTCTTTTTCAATGTTGTATCTTCATCACGTGTTGGAATCATGTCTTTTGCAGAAGTCTATCGAGAAATAAAAAAAAAAAGAAAAGATTGATATTTGTGTGTGTTGTTTTTGTTTTTAAAGAATTAGTTATTAATCCTACAGTTGTAAGATAATTATCATGTAGAGCTGCATCGATTTGTGTACGAAGTGCATCAACCTTAATAGAAAGAAAAAAAAAAATGTTTGATCTTTGATATAAGATTAAAATTTGTAAGATAATACTTTTCGTCTCATTCGTCGATAACGTAAACTACCATTTGGATCTGATGTTGATACACGACTACTAGCAGATTTACTTCGTGTATGAATTTGTTTTTCATTTGTATATTCATTTGATAATTCATTGAGTTTTCGTCGTAGACGAACGGCTGATGGTTCGTTCTCCATGACCATATTCTATGAAAAAAATTACTATGTCATGTAATTTATAATAGAAGAAATCGAAGGTTAGATAGTGAATGAAATGCAAACCAATGACTATTAAGATGAGATATAACTAGGGACATCTTTAGTTTTTTCTATGAGCTATGTTGAAATATAAAATCTGCGAAAAAGTTGGAGAGTATTGAATTTTTCGAATTATTTGAAAGATTAATAGTGTGTTGAATCGATGAAGATTGTCATGACAACGATAGTCGTAACGATGGTGTTCTATGAAACTGTAGCAAAAAGTTCATGCGTCGGCGCACGAAATTAGGATGAAATTTTATGTTAAAAGAGATTAGGGATCTGTAAAGTTACTGTTTCTTGTCGCTTCGGTTTCGTTCCTAGCTAACGCTTTTTGCTAATTTCGCTAAGGGTAAGTATGGCAACCAGGGAAGGGTCAAGCGTGTTTTTTTTTGAGAATTGATGAACAAGTTGGAACTTCGTTGAGGAAAACCGAAAACTCGTCAAGATATGAAGAATGAGCCTCACTCCTATGTATTTCACTGTAGCTCATTTATAAACCAGGTGTAATTACCTTCGTCTAAATCCGCCAACAATGTCTCTCCTTGAAACATGCAAAATATTATTTTTTTTTAAATGTTTTATGTTCGTATCTTTGTTTGAAGAGTCGATTTGAATTCATTGAAACTTAGGATCTATATACATATTCAACATTCTATAGAAGTTATCGAAAAAGTCCAATCTTTGAAAGCACGATGGGGTATGGTTTTGACTCAAGAGCAATTCATTATTTGGAAGAGTTTGACCATGAGATCTTAGTAATATGCAGAGGTGCAGAATCTACCAGCGTGCGCATATGACTGTACGGGGAAATTTTTTTGAAAATATTTTTCCTCCTAGAAAAAATTTTACAGTTTTCTAAAAGAATCTTGGTTTATACGTATATACATGCATCGATAAGATCTTGAGCCTTTCCCTTTGTACGTAATTATGATGCAAAACGCACTATTTTTATTGTCTTCTATTTTCGTTTTGGTTTTTTCCTAATGCAATGTCACTACTTGCCGTCTTTTCTCTGTTGCTACATATAGTGGTTATTGTATGTGCGTATGTGTACACAACTGCTAGGATGACTAATTTATTGTCACAATGCTACGTTTGGAATCGAAGATGTCCACAAGGAAGGGTAAAAAAAAAGGCAATCTTAGCTCTGTCCTGAGCAGGGCAAGGTAGGAGAAAATCAACTTGTGGGCATCTCTGATTGAAATCCACCACCAATACATTCAGTCGATTTATTTATTACAAGTTCACTCAATGATTATATTAGTCCTGAGAAAGATAGACAATGATTATTTCGGTAAAAAAAAAAAAGTTAACCATATCTAGTCTGGAAACTTGCTTCTTCTGACTCAGTTGTTTTAAATCATTTGCGTAAAGTACAATTAGGACGATTATCTGAACTAAACGATATTGAATAGTAATATTCTTTTTTTTTCTAACATGCGCTTGCAATGTGTCGAGTAGCCGTAGCTATTTGTTTTATCATACATCTTAAACGGGAATAACTCGTTTTTTTCATTGAGTTTTATATCGGGGAAATTTTTTTATTTTAGCGGCAGAATCTGCACCTCTGGTAATATGTTCAATTCATTTTAGACTAAACTATCCGTTCTTGAAACAAATAAAACCAATTCTTATCTCGATTTATTTGAATTCATTTTAAAGATCTTTTATTTTTAATTGAATATTAGTAAATATTTACAAGTTTAACAGATTTATTTATTTATCCTTAAACTATATTTTCTATTGTTTAAGATTAACAAATGAATGTTTGACACCTATCCACAAAAAACAAGAAGTATAATATCATTTCTTTTCTCAAAAACTACTATTTGTATGTATAGAAGCATCAAAAAGAAAACAAATTGGTAAGAAATAAGAATATATCATTACACAATTTACATATTTGAATAGATTTTTTTTTTGTTTCATTATTATGTTATATTGAATATTTGACTGGTATTAAAGGTTCAACTAATGTATTTCCTGTAAATATTATTTTTGGTTCACAAAAAGGACCAAAACTATTATTAATTGATATTGCACGAACAGCAAATGCATAATGACAATTGCATTGAAATTCTTTCAAAGTAACTGCCATTGGTAAACGCATTGATTTAACTATACCAATCTAAGAAAGAAAAAAAAAAAAGACAAATTCACTTTAATTTTTATAATTATATTATTCATACTTTTTTCCAATCTGATAATGATGTTGTTGCATTTTGTTTATATGCATAAATTTCATAATTTTGTATTGATTCCATTGGTGTTGAAGGTAAATTCCAAGTTAATCGAACTGTTGTATTATCATGTGTTATACTTAATTGAGGTCGAGCTATAGTATTATCAAATGGATTATTTTCAGGTAATGGACGTAAAACAAGTGTCTGAAATAAAAAAAATGAACTAGATATTTAAAATTTTATGGAATCTCTATAGTCTATGTAAGGTGCTCGCAATATCATCGAATTGCAGTGATGAATTTTGTTTATCATTGGTTATTGTAATAAATATAGTACTCTTTTTACTTATGAACAATATTAAATCAAATAGAATAAATTCTTTTTATTTACCTGTCCAACTGGAATCGTTGTATTTGAACCCATTGGACGATTTACTGGTTCTAAAAGATTATATATTATTTGAAATTTTATTATTTATAAAAACTTACGAATACGAACAGTCGTAGCTGTTGATAATGTTGAATTTTGTTCCTAAGATAAATAGTCATCAATAAGAACAAAGAAAATTATATACTAACTAATTTAGTTGATGAAATTTTTTCTGTTGATAATTTATTTGTATTATTATCATCATCTTCTTCTGTTAAATCAACAATATCATGAGAAATTGCTGAAGTTGAAGTTGTTACAGGTGGCGAAGGATGAGAATTAATTGTTGGTATTGACATCACTTTTTTAACTATTGATGTTTTATTTGTTAATGTTATTGTTGTTGCTGTATTCGTTGTTGTTAAACAAGGTATTAATTGTTGTAATGATGGACCTGTTGTTCGAATTGGTGTAAGAAAACTATTAAAAGGACGTAGAGTTGTTGCTGGTATAACTTTTGGAATTGGTACAGAATTTATTCCATTGACCTTATAAAAAAAAATTAACAAATTTGAACATATATTATTTATAATAACAAAAAATCGAAGATTTTTGTTTCGTTTTTACATATACATAAATATTTGATTTGGGATTTTGTTGTTGTTGTTGTTGAGTTGGTGTTAAATCAGTTTGTATTTGTGAATCATGTTGATTAATTTGATTTGTTTGTTGTTCACGATCAATTTTATTTAAATTTATTTGTTTATGATAAAAATTTATTAAATCTTGATGTTGTAATTTTAATGTTTGTACAAGACGATTATTATTTAATAATTGTTTTTGTTGTTCTTCTTGACGTGTTTGTTTTAAAGCTTGTTCAAATAGAAGATATTCATTTGTAGGATTAATAATTATTGAATTAGTTGCAATTTGATGACATTGACAAATACATAAATGTTCATTTGTGTTAGATGTTGATTCTAAAGAAATATTTTGTTAGAATAGATAAATTTGAATTTATATAATAGAGATGGTTCAAAGGTTTTTTTTTTCTACAAAAGATTTCAAGGATTTTCGAGCGAATTTTGAATTAGCAATGATTTAACTTATTGCATAGTACAAAGTATGCTAAGAATTGAAGTTACAAAAAGCGTTTTTCTCTGAAGACGTTCTTTGAGAAGTTATGTCGATCCTTTAAAATATCACAATACCATTAATTTACACACTGGAATGCATCCAAAATTTATTTTTTTGGCTTTTCAGTCCACTTGTTATTAAAATGACTAATGTATAAAACAAGCATTCCAAAACTTCCTTGTCTTCTGCTTATTTCAACCTATACAATTAAGTTCTTCAAACGAGGAAAAAAGCGCTTACTGCTACGTATCGAACAGTAATCATACCTTCACCTTCTATAAAATCATCATCAGTTTGCGATTGTGAAAGTATTGAAGATGGTTCATCACTTTCCATGGATATTTGTTCATTCAAACTTCTCGTTATATCTTCCATTTGTACGTCATGTGTTGTTGAAATAGCTGAAAAAAAAAACGAGATTCTTCGAAGATAAGCTTTTTTCTTGTTATAAACAAATTAAACATACATTCATTAATATTTGCATCAAAATGATTTAAAAGTGAATCAATACAATTATGAATATCTGTTAAAATAATTTGTTTTTCATTTGAAAAATCATTAGAAATTTGTTTTTGAATTTGTTCAAGTATATCTTTAATAATTTCTTCATTTGTTTGTTCAACAATCATTTGTTCAATTTCATTATCAGGTAATATAACAAATGATTGTTTTTGTTGTTGAAGATTTTTTTCCAATTTATAATCAAATTGAATTTGATCAAAAATTATTTTTTCTTCTTTATTATTATTATCATGAATTGATGTTGAATTACATAAAGGTAAAGTTTTCGATGGAACATTAACATTTCGTGAAACTGTACTTTTTCTTGCAATATGACGATATATATCAGGAAAAATTGTAGTTGACATTATTATTGTTTCTAAAGAAAATAAAAATAATGTTGAAAACTATTAGATCAGACTATAATGACTAGGACATTTCTGTTTCTTTTCTATTTTATAAACATGTTTTTTCATCGATATTTTCTTTCGTTCGACATATTATTTGTTTTTCTGTTCTATCTTTCTCTCCTTTTTTTTTTCGTTCTAGATAATGTTTATAGTTTTGACATACGCTTCGACTAAGGAATTTTCGTTGTTCTTCTTTGATTTATCCTCTTTGTTTTATCTGCTGATTAAATCTATTGTGAGTCATTATCAGAAAATAATCTCATACGACATCCATTCAAAATACGGACAATTGTATTTCTTCAATATTTATAAATTTCGAAAACATCAACAAGTTATTCAATTTCATTTATTAAATTTGTTATTGTTTTCAGTTTTTTTTTCTAATACGAATAATTAAATGTTTTATTAATCAATCAAAACAACATTGCGAACTGAAAGAAACAAAGTTGAAGATTTCAGTAAGACTAATCTTATGAACATGATATTTTCCAAGGCAACGAAAAGTGATTTTTAAAACTGATAATTCATGTTTTTCATGTTGACATTTATATTATTAACCAAATTTAAATATACACTTACACAATAATAATTATATGATTATTCGTTCTTTTTTCTTAAAAACAAAATGATATACAAGAATAAAATAATATGTTAAGTAGTTTTATTAAGGATGCAGTGAAAATATAAACATTAGCTGCTTGAATTTCCAATAAATGTAAGAAGAAGAAAATAATTATTTCTAAAATTCTTCTTGATTACCGTAACTAAGACATGAATTTCCTATCTCGATTATTTCCAACATGATAATACTATTGTAACACACAGTGATAGCTTGATAAACAGTCGAATCTATTCCATCATCAACTGGATATTCCGTACCAAAGAGTTTCATAAATTCTCCATAATTTGCTGTTAACTGTAGAATAAAACAAAATCAATTTAAGATGTTCGCTAAATGAGTTGAGTTTTCTTAAAAGAGACTTATTTTTTTTCTTACTAGAATTTTCATATAAATTAATAAACTTGATACATAATTTCGATCAATGATATTTCTCGCGTATTTACCACGTACTTCATGGTTTTATGAACACGAGTAGAAACAATAATCGATTTAAGATCTGATGTTGTCTTGATATTTAGTTTAAACTTTCGTCTAACAACTAACGAGTATCGTCTTTCTTTTTTTTCTCTCGTACTAACTGATTGTTGTTGACTGAAGGACAGTTTACTGTTGATCTTAAGATGACGATCTGTTTGATATGAATACATATGTCGAGACAAAAGGAACAAGAGAAGTTGATATGAATTGGAACAGTTGCTTTTGTTGTATTTCGTCAACAACTAAGAGAAATTATTGTCTAGTAAATGAGGTTTTCTTTATTCTGAAAAGACCATTCACTTTCATTCGTAATTTTTGAAATGTCATGGTTTTCACATTTTTCCCATAAAAGTCACAACATAATTTTGATTTTTTTAGTTCATGGACATTACTGTAGTAGATAATCGAAGGAGTTAAAAACAACCTAATAAGAGAATATACTTCAATATCTCTTCCAAAATTATCTTCCAAGTATTTAATTTCGTTGATAATTCTACTATGATACCAATGTTAATTGTGTTGACTGCTAAGATGAACATTTGAAGAGATTGGAAAAATTCAGATTTTCATTTTTTCCCTTTAGAGCCTATTTTCATCCGTTTATCCATCCTACTTACTGTATCACATTTAAATCGTTTTATCGCAGATATCTCAATAGCTTCTTTGTCAAAAGTTCTAATAATGTTAAGAATGATACATTGGAATCAGCGAAGCAAAAATCAAAGGGTGGGTGTGGGTGTGAGTTTGGGTATCCGGATCTAAGTCTTCTCTTCATTGACACATTCATTCATTACAAAGTTCTGCTCAGTATGACGATACCTAGCAACTAACTAAAAAAAATTAGGTTTTGTTATTTTAGAGTTCAATAAGGTCAAGTAAGCCAAGAGCGGAAAGTCCCGTCTGAAAATTCCGTGGGCGGAAATTTTTGCAACCGGATAGCCCTATTGAGCACTTCGCTTTTACTTTGACACTTATATGATAGAAGTAAGAGTGATCCCAGAAGACTGCATCACTTCCGATAAAGATTAAATCAGTCTTCCAAGCACTATGAAGTCCTGTTCAGGACTACGCTATCCCGATGGACACTATGACGTTCTGCTCAGCAGTATGTGTCCTGCTGAGCACTATGTTTTATTAAAAATGTATGTTATTATGTACAACGAGTTGTACCAACTTTTCATCAGTTTTCGAGTTTTTGGTGTGGGTGTGTGGATGTGGGTTTGGGTGTGGATTAAGAGAATATCCTGACTCATACCCATATCCACACCCCACACCCTCAGCTACAGAAGGTACTTTTGTATACCATGGAGTGAAGCATAGTCATTCTTATTCACATTTCAACAATATTTTATGTTTTGAAATTTTATTAAAATAAAAACAGAATGCTATAGGTATGAAAAACGCTGAAAATCCTCATAAATACTAAAAATCCGCAACAATATAAGTTTTCGCTTTTTTCCGCTTTTTCGACTTCATGAGGTTGCATCCCTGCCTACACCCACACTCTCAGAGCTACAATTGATTAGTTGAACGACGGCCAAATTTCTGTTGTTCTTCTAAACGTTGGATTACTTTCAACATATTTTTCAGAGAACTTTAATGTAAGTTGATCTAATTGCTATTGAATGAGTAAAGATAGTATTTAAACTAGTGATGGGGATAATAAAGGATGTGAATGTGAAGACAATTATCTCAATCATATTCTATATTCACGGGAATCCCTCATTTTCAATAAATATATAAGAATTCGTTTGTCTTAAGTTCGCATCAAAGCCTCCGTAGTCTTAAAGATATTGCTTTTCCGTTAATAACACCACTCGTTAACTATGAAATGTAAATGCTCTAATAATAATACAAGATGAATATCAAGTAGTAACAACATGTAAACGGCAATCATGTATAGGAACCTGCTGCAGACTGAAAATTACTTTAATTTAGCTACATACAAGCGTTTATGTGCCGTATTGTTTCACTTGAGAAGTACTATTCCTGATTCGCCTCTTCTTTTTTTAAACGGAATCTGATGCATTACGCTTTAAAATTCAAAAGCTGTTGTTTTCAACTCGTTAGTTCCTATTTTTTCTAAGACAAATATGACATATTTGCGTCATTTTCTGCATATTTTGTTTTTCAAATCAAATATGATTGTTTTTGATTCGTTGGTTTCTTTTTTTTCTGAAAAGAATATACAATGTATGTTTCTTTTCCGAACGTAATTATTCTAATCCACTCTTTTTTCCCTCTATTCATATGGAATGAATATGATGAACTTTGTTTTTAAAATCAAAAGCTATTGCTTTTGATTCGTTTGCTCCTTTCTTGTTGAAAGATGTATGACATATTATTTTCACTTTCAAAAAAAAAAATATTCAAATGAAATGTGATCATAGTTCTCTTTAAAATCAAAAACAATTAGTTTTGATTAGCTTGTTCTAGTAGCGTATTTGTTTCTTTCTCAAAAGTAATTTTTGATGTTCCTTGTTTTGTCACTTACCTAAATGAACTATGATGAACTATGCCTCTTATATGAAACTCGGTTTTTATTGATTCATTTGCTCTTTTCAGTCTAAAAAGATATATTGTCCGAGTTCGTTTGCAGTCGAAGAGATAGACATGTTTCCTTTGAAAAAAATGTGGGTAATACAACGTTGAGAAAACAAACTTCATCTTATTGAATGATAATCAACTGGACTTGGAGCAATTGATGCTTTGATGAGATCTACTTGATATTGATCTGCAAACATCACAATTGGTTTGAACTCATTGGTAGTTGATTTCTGATTGATCGAAAACATATAAAAATCAATTGTACTTATTTTTTACTCGTGTTATGAAGGAACAAACTCTTGCATCGATTATGAATAATTTCAATCTTTTAGACAGAGATCCGATTGTTTAAGCTCTCCAGTGAAGAAGCTGAACGAAAGCAACAAGTTCGTCATACGTTATAAGGTAAATACAACATGAGCTGCAGACAAGTTGTGCATCTTGTCATTTCTTCTTCTATCCTTTGAATTCTCACAAAATTGAAAGAGTCTCTTATCCTAGCCATAGACAACTAGATGGAAGTTAGATTAATGGTTGTGTCTAAAAACTTCAGAGTGGATTATTTAGAAGCAATTAGATAGAATCAGAACAATAGTAACAATGAATCATACTCGAGATTATCAACTTTTGCAGACATTCCATGAGAGAATTTTCAAGTAATCGTGACGGGAGAAAAAAATCCGTCTAAATCATTGATTCCGATGATTTTATCGTGATATAATTTCATCATTGATAGGTATAGTGAATCGCGATAAATCACCGATTTTCTTCAGCACATAGAAATCTATAAATATTCAACGAAAAACCTGTTGAAAAAGAGAGAAGAAAAGATGAAGACTAACTGAGGCGTAAGGTTAGTATGAAGAATGATAACATGAGGAAAGAAATTCAGAAATAGAAAAGGAAAACTTTTAGACAACTAAGCTAACCGAAAAAATGTCTGTTTTTAGAGTTTATATTATGTCGTATTTTATTCTCTCATATGTGCATGCCAACTCTCAAAGGTGAGAATGAACTTTCAAAATAATGATAGACCATTTAATGAAGATAGAGTCTAGAGAGAAAAAAAAGATTATTGAAACGCATCGATTAACATGCCAATGATGTTTTGCTTGACAAACTGCAAATTTATACATCACATTCATGACTATTCAGGTGAAGTTTTGAGAAAATCATTACTTTTCTCAAGTGTACATCTTGCTTACTGTCATAATGAATTATTCAGTTGCAAGGCCAAAAAAACTTTTTTTTCTTTTTCTCTCCAGATTATTTTCTAAATGAAAAGCTCAATTATATATTGAGAATATTCGAG